TTGTTGCTAATTCTGCTGTTGTCCTGATTCTGCTTCTTTTGTTGTCCTACCCTGTCAATATGAAAATGTATACAATTGTTAGTATTTGTTTGAATTTAAATGTTTAAGTTATGACTGTTATTAAGATTTGAGATATTATTAGTGTTTTTTTTAATTTAAATGTTTATGGTTTTACTTGCATTTAAATATTTATTATATATAAAATTAGAACTTAGATTGTTTAGAAGTAATTAAACTAAAATATATATTTTTTTTAACTGTTCGCTTTGCTTCGATAAAGCGTGTCGCTTCGCTTCTCGCTTCTCGCCTAGGCGTTAGGAGCCTTGGTCGCTTCGGTTCGCTTTACGCCTTAAATAACACTGGTTCAAACCACCTAAGTCGATTCTCCCTCAACTTATCTCCTATTTGTGCTACCTCTACTTTTTTCCAAATATATTTGTTCATAATTTATTTTTCCTAATCTTACCACACATCCATCTTAACATTCTTATTTCTGTCACACAACTTTTGAACATATTGTTTCTTAGTTGTCCAACACTCGGTACTGTAAAGTACAGCGGGTCTTATAGCCGCTCTATAGAATTTCCTTTTAACTTGAGGGGTATACGTCCATCATACATTACTCCAGATGCATTCCTCCATTTAGTCCATTCAGCATCAATTCTATGCTTAAAATCGTTGTCAATCTCACACTCTCTATGAATAACAGACTCTAAATATTTGAAGTGTTCACTTTTTGGCATTGTTTTTAAAATTGGCCCGGACATCAACTGGTAAAAGGACTGGGTCAGTGGGTCAGTAGTTCAATCGTTGAGTCACTGGCCGAACCGGTCAATATAATAAAAAAATAAAAATAATTATTAATAAGAATAAATACACTAAAAAATTATAATGAATATTATGATAGCATATTTAATGTATATTACATCAAACAAAAACCTAGAAATTATCAATTCCATGACACTGTCAACACCCTAATTGATTCTCAAGACAGTTGGCATTTAACTTCTGTAATGTATACCGTCAAAAAAAAAGGAAATAATAGAGAAACATCATGAATTATACTAATCACACAGACCTCCATGGATTACTATTTATAATTCAATCATTAAGGGTTAATATTGAAACTAAAAACCACACCTAATGCTAACCAACCACATCAAGTTCTGTGAGGACTCCAACAATTTAGAACAATAACCAATGAAATAACAAGGAAGAAAAAAAATTCAGCTACTACAAACCGAGGAAATGAGCTGCACACGTGAAAAGACATAACCAGTGAAGGTTTCATGGCTTTGGATAGAAAAGAAGACCAAAGATGTAGCAATGCATAAAGACGAGGAAAAAGTCACAGCCTTAAGTAATTGGTGTCCTAGTAATGTGGAGTTGCCAATCAAAGATGAGCGCAGGACTATCGAAAAGTGTAGAAAAGAGAGAAAACGAGAGAGAGACCAGTAAGAGACTGAGAGACGATAGTGGGATTAGGGCAAAATTACCCAAAAAAATTTGATTTTATAAGCCTTTCACTGAACCAAACAGTTTATAATAACCCATTTGAAAGATTTATCTGAAAACCAGTCGGCCTAAATGGTCTTGGAAGGGTTTTATGCTTGACCGATCTAATTGAAGAACAGACCCGCTTTAGGATCTGGTTCGACGAGTTTTAGGGTCAACCCGCCGAGCAAGTTTTAAAACACTGCTTTTATTTAATTTTCACTGCTTCCTGATTTCGATTTCTTCTTTTACTAAAGTTACATTTCATATACTCAATTTTAGCCCTACTTATCCTAATCCTTTTGATTCTAGGGTTTCTTGCCAAATTTCTAGTTCATTATTAGTTCCTTCTTTATTTTCATCAACTAGTACAAAATATCGTCCGCAAAAAACATACACCACGGGAGCTCATCCAGAATGTGCCTAATCAAATTCATCCATAGTAACGCGAAAAGTTATGGACTTCAAGCAATTGGGAATTCCTTAGTCTCCCCCGCTGTTGTTCTCACTAAAGTCACTACATCTTCTTACATATCCTTAATAATATCAATATACCTAACAATAACATTTTTCTTTTCCAAGTACCTTCATAATATCTCTCTAGGCACTCTATCATATGCCTTTTCTAGGTCTATAAAAACTATATGAAGGACCTTATTTTTCTCCCTATACATCTTCATTAGTCTCCGAAGTAAATATATAGCCTCCTTTGTTGATCTCCCAGACATAAATCCAAATTAATTTTCAGAAACTGTTGTATGCACCCTTAATCTTTACTCAATCACTCTCTCCCAAAGTTTCATTGTATGACCCATTAATTTAGTATCTCGATAATTTGTACAACTTTGTATGTCTCCCTTATTCATATATATAAGTACTAGAATACTCTTCCTCCACTCATCGGGCATTTTCTTAGACATTAGAATTTTATTAAACAATTTAGTTGGTCATGATGCTCCAACATTCCCTTGGCACTTCCACACCTAAGTAGGCATACCATAGGGTCCTAACGCTTTTCCTATTTTCATTTTCTTTAGTGCATCCTTTACCTCCGACATCCTAATCCTACGAATAAATGTGTTTTCCTTAAATTCTCTACGATTTCTACTATCCTCAACAAACTCTCTATATGATTTTCAATTAGTAACTTTTCAAAGTAATTCTTCCATCTTTCTTTAATTTCCTCATTTTGTACCAAGACCCTAGAGTTTTCACTCTTAAAACATTTAATATGATTTACATCTATAAGCTACACTACGTTTTTAGCCACCTCAAAGGAAGTGAAAGGAATTCCACTTTTTGCAATTTTAGCGGGATGAAGAGTTATATGTGATGCATGGGCTCTTTTTTTATTTATTGTTTTTTTGTCTGTTCTTAGTTGGATCTCTTATTCAACCTCTTCTTATGTAATTTCTCTTTTATTTATTAATACAAATGTTTTGTTTCCTATCAAAAAACACATCAATTTTTGTCTGACCCTTCCCTTGGCACTAGCATCGGCATGGACCAAGTCCATTATGCTTGAAGGGTGCAATAATTGGTCTTTGCTTCACGTGCCCATACAATATTAGTTCTTTGTTTATCTATGGTTTGTGTTCCTTCTGTGGTCTGACAAAGGTCTTCAGCTTTTAGTTTGATTCTTCCCTATTTTAACATTCATCCATTCAACTTCTATATCTCTGCTGTACTTAATTTCAATGTCACTTCAAATCTTAGGATGTAATGCCTAGATTTTTAACAGTTCATTTTCTTACTTTTAAGTACATTGACACGTTGCAGCATTCAAAATCTGCCTCCCAACAGCAATTCACACCTTCTGAAATATCTGCAGCATTTTCGGTCATGATGGGCATGTGTATAGAAAGCAATTTGTCAAGGATTTCTCGTGAGAAACCAGTTCTCCAAAATCTATGTAAGATCCTAACCCTAAATTACAGGGACATCATCTTGGTTTGCAAGGATTTAGACAGAAAGCAGGCTAGTAAAAATATAAATATATCAGTTTTTTTCTTTTCTTGCTGAAAATTATTCAGAATTTATTGAGGCATATTTTGGCAGAATAATAACTGCCTAGAGGAAATAAGGAAAAGACATTGTGAAGGCCTGACAGTGAAGTTACAAGAATTATTTAGCATGTCAACAAATAGCATAATAACTGTGTGAGTGAAATGACACCTATGCATATGTGGAAATCGTAAGTTCAAATGTAATGGCCATACCTAATTTATATCCACCAAGAAGCTTCAAGTTGAGCTTGACAAGAGATTGAATCTCGCTCTTGGCGTCATCTCTCATAGCTTTACTTTTAGCAAAACATTTTTCTTTCCTCCGTTTTCCCCCATGAGGTTTCGTCTTGCTCGACGAGGAAGAGGCACAAAGCTCCAGTTTGGGATGAGAAATATTTAAAGCTACTGGCAATGATGCAATTGGAGAATTCGTACAAGGTCCACCACACTCATTAAAATCATTCGACGGAGCTCCACGCATATTCTCCACCAGTAGTTCCCCATCACAATGACGAGCATCTGTGTGAGCTGAAATACGGTTCTTAGAAGATGGTAACTCACCATATCCTGGAGAGCAAGTCGTTGGGGAACCCTCACCAAATTTTGGAACCCCCCTCATGGTAACCTTGTGCTGTTTAAAATTTTGAAACATTTGAGATTTTTGCCCATCGTCGTCCTGTTGAAGAGAATAATACTGGTAATGCTTTTCTGGTCCAATGCCACCAAGATTCCTAGTCCTAAATTGTTTGTTATTCAACGGAAGAATCCTTGATGTCCTTTTCATTGGTTCTTTGAGGGAATTTACTTTCGTTGAAGGCTGCTTTAAGGCCTGATGAGCCATGCTGGATTCGCCACGACCTTGATTTAAGGACTTTGCAACAGCCATCATTTTCCAAGCTTTGTCTACATCAAGTGAGCCTCTATTATGTAGCATATCACAGGAAGAATCCTTTTCAGCTGTCAATTGCGGACTTGAGTAAGATGCAGGATGTGTTTGACCTGATCTGCCACGAAGTACGGAACCAGTGTCACTTTTTTGGTCAGTGCAGTCCCCATTATTAACTGAGCTGCAAGAGAAGCTCAAGGAGCCACTTCTAAAAGCATTCCAATTTGCACGTAACGTTCTTATCCGATCATGCACACTGCGACAATGACCCAGTGTTCTTGCAGCCACCTCAGTTGAATTACATGCAACCCTTGATTGCGTTCCTGTATCTGGCCCAGTCACGTTGTCTGGTAGAATAACTCCGCTTTCAGAGACTACAAAAGATGGAAACTGACTTGGAAGTCGAGAGGCTGTTGTAGAAGATCTCCCAACCTCAGTAATGCTGGCTTCTCGTACAATATCAAACACTGACGTACGTTCTTCAACAGATGACACTTTATGGATGTCCCAAAAACTAGCTTGACTCTCATATTTGGTATCAATATCATTCTTGGAATGTTCAGCCCTCAACAAAGTACAGTCTTGGCAAAACCAATCACCCTCAGGTACAGTGGCACCCAGACCAACACAGTACGTATGAGAAGCAGAGTCGCAAAGATCACATAGAAGTAGAAGACTTTCATCGGTCGTAACAAGGCACACACTGCATCGAACTTCTGAATATGGGTCAGGAGGCCCTACTGTTGCATTTCCAAAATGATGGTAAACCTGCAAGCAAATTTATATCAGAATATCAGATGTGACAGCGAACTAGCACCAAATTAAGCTATCATTGGGATGAGAAAATGAGCCTCATGGCCAAACAAGGACATAGGGAACATGGTTCAAAGTTGCGGTGTCAGCCATCGCCTCGGAGGATATCGCGCCGCGATATTGGCCGATACGCCCAAAACGCTAGATAGAAGCTCCAAAAAAAAATTGAAAAAATTATAGAAATTCTAAAAATATGAATATCATCATTCATGCATCATATGTCCACAATACATCCAAAAACACATTAAACATAATTAAAACGAAATATGAGGACGCATTCATTTCTCCTTTTTTTCTCTGTGTGATTTGTTTTCATCGATTCTTGGAATATGATCTGTTGGAAATTAAATTATATGATTTTTTGTTCATTTTGAATTCACATATATACACGAGGTAATCTCTTTGATATAATTTGTCGTTAACTACTGAATTCAACTCTAGATTGTCATGCCCCCAAGGTGGTTGGGGTTGTTTCGATGAACCATGTGCACCTCTTGTTCAGCAAAGAAACATTTCACTTGAGAAATGGTTGAAACGTTGAAGCATTAACCTTCTTTTATACCTGTACCCATTTACATGAACTATTGTGTGATCTAAGAGGTTCCAACACCCTTATCACCCAAAAATAAATACGAATAAAAACTTCCTTGAATTAGTTGAATAACTATCTAGAAGCTTCAAACAGTTTAATTTTTTGGGCTTGATGGATTTTATTAATTTTAGTAAGCTTCCTAGTTAAATCTTTGGATAATCATAATGACCAATTTATGAACCTATTTCCAATTGAACTGTTTGAATTTGGTTTAAGCCACTTCATAGACATATCTATTGTAAGTGGGTGTCGAATTCTTTTCTTATTCCTTGTATTAAGTTTTGTTCCTTCTTCTTTCATGGTACGATTCATACAGATGGATTATATATGAACATCATTTTTTACCTCCTGCTAGCTACTTGACACTAATTCTGAATTTGCTAGACTCTAGATCAAGAAATCCATGGAAAGGAGGAGAAAAGGGAAAATCAGGGTAAAAATTGCTCCTAAATTTTATATTATATTATGTGAAAGTTGATTTTTACATGTTGTTGATTACAAGCAATGGAAGGAGAAGAAATGAGAAATAATATTACAACTCCTGAAACTTCTACAACACCGTATGAAAGCAACCAACTTCCAATCTCTATTGATGAAGATCAATCTACCAACTCAACTCTAATGACTCTTTGTGAAACAGATAAGCATAGATCAATTGTGTGAAATCATTTCAAGAGGAAAACAGTTGATGGGAAGTTAAAGACTGAGTGCAATGCATGTAAGAAATTACTTGTTGGTGGTACTAAGAATGGAACTAGCCACTTGCATGACCATCTTAAAAGTTGTTCGAGAAAGAAATATAAAAAATTGAAGCAATGGTTATTGATATCAAATCAATCAAAGAAAGATACCAAGAAAACTATGGAGAACTGGCAATTTGTTCAAGAGACGGGAAGGAGGGAACTTGTCAATATGATTATATTGCATGAATATACTCTTAGTATGGTTGAGCATCCCGAGTTTCAAAAATATTGTCACTCTTCAACCCATGTTCAAAATGATATTCCGGAATACTCTCAGAAATGATATCCTTTAAATTTACAAAATCAAAATAGAGAAGACAATGAAGTTGTTGGAAAAAACAAAAAGTAGAATTGATATCACTACAGACATATGGTCCTCAAGCAATCAAAGAAAGGGATACATGACAATTACCACACTCTTTATTGACAATTCTTGGACGTTGCAACTACAATAGAAGCTTTGATGTCATCTCAAAGTTGATTATAGGCTGAAGAACGAGATAAAGAAATATTATTTGTATGTGCATCATAATTTTTTTGGGGAGAGTAAAGTACGCCTCATGCATTATTTTTTTTTTGTTAGGTTAATCTACTTTGACAGGCCTGAAGAGCTACACATTATTGGAAGATCTTGATATTGATGATGAGGTATATCATTTTAGTTGAAAATTTCTCATTGGAAGAATCTACTAATTTTTTTTCTTTTAATGATATAAGAAAATGATGTTGAAGAAGTAGATTCTACCACCACAGATGGTGTTAAAGAGATGATTGAGTTAGTAATTTTTCAATTTCAACCGATCAATTTTATTAGTAAATACAAAATATTTTTGATACAATTATTATAATTTTTTATGTTTTATTTTCTTTATTAAATTACAAATGTGAAGATCCCGCCTTCTTGTTGGTTTGTTGAATTTGTGACGTGGGTTAGTAATATTATTTAGAGTGTATCAAGTAATTGTCATCAGTTTTTGGGATTGAATGGTGAATGGTCTCCTTTGGTGCGAGATATGCTCGTTAGATGCATTTTATGATTGGAGGGGTTTATTCTAACCTCTAGGCCAATCAGGGTTATATGTATTTCCAGTGTACTTAACAATTCTTTGATTTCTAGTTGTAATTAGATTTTTAATTTCTTATATTTGTGGGGAATTTTGTATTGGTGATATGGGGAATTGTTCGAATTTGTTCCCTCTCCTCTCTGATTCATATAGGAGATGGCACTCGAAATTATGTTATGCTACATTATGTTTGTGTTAGATTATGTTAGATTATTTAGAATGTTGTTGGATTATTTAAAATGTTAGATTTATTTAGAATTTTGGATTATATTGGCTTGAACTTGGGCTTGAGCGGGTACAAGGGTGAGGGTGAGGGCGAAGGCGGGGATTACAAATTTATCCGCGGACAGAAATGGGGATAAAAACTATACCCGTTTACAGGAGTGGACTGGGAATGAATGGAGTTTTTTTTAAGCGGGTACGGGATGGAGACTACACCCTTCGCCCCCGTTTCGGTCCACTGACATCCCTAATCGTGTGTAAATCAGCTCATGAAGTTCACGATTGAGTTGGTGTATTTTAATTAGTCAAAGGGAGAATATAAAATTGTTTGTATTATGCTATTAAGCCAACTCCGGGTTTGATCTCACTAATAGTTTGGGCATGGAAGCCCTCATGGTTTGATCGAGTCTTACAATAACCTGCCAATTGGTACAAGGAGAGAGTACTATCACGAAACTAGTAAAATAGTTGAAAAAGTTTGATGCAATCTCAAATATGCGCATTTCAAGGCTTCAGACAGACCCCCCCCCCCCTTTTTTTTTCTTCCTTTTTCTCCCCATTCTGGTCCATATGGATATACCATGAAAATGAATAGCTCATTCATTTTTTTTTTCTTTTTCTTCCTTTTTTTTGGGTGGGGAGGGGATGGGATTTGAAGGTTGGGAAATAAGTAAATAGTAAAACCTAAATGAAGTAAAATATTCTTTCAGTGTCCAAACGGATCTCACAAATGGGTCGATCAAAATGATGAATTGAAAAGTGTCCAACAAGTAACTCAGCAGCTTATACAAATCAATCCAACCTAATCTTTGATTTAGGGGTAACTACACTTTCTACTCAACTTGGGCTGAAACTTTTCAACCCTTAAAAGAACGATATTAGAGACCAGAGTAGTCAAACATATAAAACTCCAGTCCTGGCAAGATAAGGTTAAAATTCAAGTGAGATCTTGGCTAAAAGCTTTTGGCATTCATTTATGAAATCCACTTTTTATCTTTTCTGGATAATAGGTATGTCTTAGTAGTGTAGACATGTTCAAGTTCCTACAAGACAAGAAAGAACACCAAACGTGTAAAATTCAAAAGAACCAAACAACTAAGATGCCTTATCTTTGAAGAAGAAAGATCACCTGTTTGATAATGTGTTGCACATGTTTATTAAATTGATCATAATATGAAACTAAAAACACAAACAAAGAGGCATATTTTAGAAAGGAAAGGAAAACTTTTATAAATTCCTAGTTAATGATTGAGAAGAGGAGACTATGGTCTAGGAATGCATTACAGAGTATATTTTTAGGCTTATTAATATACTAGTTATTGTCAATCATAAATATATTTCTATTCACACTCAAAAATTAAATCACAAGCATAGAGGAGACAGAAAAGAATTTAAACACTGGTTATAGTGAGGGTGAGCAGTGGTACTGGTGGTGGGCGGCAATAGTGATGGTGGGAGATAGTGATGATTGTAGTGGGCGATGACAATCATGGTGGTGGTGGCAGCCGTGGGTGACAACGATGATAGTGGTGGTAGATTTTGGGTGACGATAGTAGTAGTGACAACCATAAGTGACAGTGGTGGTGATAGTGGGTGTAGGTGGTGGACAACGGTGATGATGGTTGGCAGTAAGTAGCGGCGGTGATGGGCGACAACAGGTGGTTGGGGGTTGTGGTAGTAGGTGGTGGTGGGCAACGATGGTGGTGACGGTGAGCAATGGTAATGGGATAATGGTAGTAATAGTAATAAATATAAAAATGAGATAATGATGGTGGTGAGTGATGGTGGTGAACGGCGATGGTAGCAATCGGTGATGGGTGACGATGGTGGTAGTGGCAAAGGTGGTGGTGGGGCGGTGGTACCGTGGTGGTAGTGAAGTTTTTTGTAGAAAAATAATTTTAAAGAAGTAGAAGTTATTTGTTTTTTAATTTACTTACTTATTTAAGTGGTAAAACTACTTTTGACTTATTTTGAAGTAATTAAAATAAGTTGTTTCGAACATTAATTTTTTTTTTAAAGTTCTTATGAGAAGTGATAAGTCCTAAAAGCAATTTTCAAAAGTCACCCCAAACAAACCATAAGAAGCCTATTTTCCCTATTAAATTTAGGAGTTAATATTATCTGTCGGATTAACTTTTAAAATGATCTCAACTGCGAAAAATAAAAGTTATTTTTTATGTTGAGTATAAGATACAAAAATTATTTTTTATGTTGAATATAAGATAAGGTGCTAGAACTTAGCTACAACTATTCATAACTATACTACTCATAAAAGGAGAGGGTGGTTTGGTGTCCATTCCAATGGGACTGACTATTGGCAAGACTAATGGATTC